GAAAATATGCATTGCGGGAGTCCCAGAAGAAGAGAGACAGAAAAGGGCAAAGAGAATATTTGGAGAAATAATGGTTGGAAACTTCCTTAATTTGATGAACGACAAAGCTCCAAGAAGCTCAACAAACTCCAAGCGAGGTGAATTCAGAGACCCATACTGAGACATATTATAATCACACTTTCAAAACACAAGGACAGAGAGTGTTGAAAGAAGGAAGACAGGAATCATTATACACCAGGGATTCTCAGTAAGATTATCAGCAGGTTTCTCATCAGAAACTTTGAAGGCCACCAGACAGCAGATTGATATATGCGAACTACTAAAAGAAAAAAACTCAACCAAGAATTCTATATCCAGGAAAACTATCCATCAAAAGTGAGGGAGAAATTAAGACTTCCAGACAAACAAAAGTTGAGGGAGTCCATGACCACTAGACCTGCCATGCAAGAAATGTTCAAAGGGGTACTGCAAGGTGAAAAGAAAGGACAGTGCACAGTAACTCTATACATGAACAATCTGAAAAGGAAATTACAAAGTTTCATTTATAATAGCAATAAAAAGAATACTTCAGAATTAATTCAACTAAGGAAGTGAAAGACTTGTACAATGAGAACTATGAAACACTGCTGAAAAACATTAAAGAGAAAACCAAAAAAATAATACACATCCCATGATCAGGGGCCAAAAGATGTAATGTTGTTAAAATGTCAGTACTACCCAAAACAGTCTATAGACTCAGAGCAATCTCTACTAAAATTCTAATGACTTTTTTTTTTCAGTAGTAGAAAAAAACCCTCATCCTATGGAATATCAAGGGGCCCTGAATAACCAAAACAATCTTGGACTGGAGGACTCACATTGCCTGACTTCAAAACCTAATACAAAAGTACAGTAATCAGAACAGTGATAAAGTGATAGACAGACATATAGACCAATGAAACAGAATAGAAAACTCAGAAATAAATCCTCACATTATTTTTGACAAAGATGGTCAAGACCATTCAATGGGTAAAAAAAACAGTCTTTTCAACAACTGGTGTAGGAAAACTGGGTAGTCACATGCAGGAGAATGAAGCTGTACCCTTACCTAACACCACCTACAAAAATTTACTCAACATAGATCAAAAACCTAAATTTAAGACATAAAATCATAACATTCTCAGAAGAAAACATACCACAAAAGCTACACATTAGACTTGGCAATGATTTCTTGATGATGACACCAAAGACAGAGGTGGCAAAAGAAAAAATTGACAAACCAAATGTTATGAAAATTTAAAATTTTATACATTGAAAAATACTGTTCACAGAGTAAAAAAGCAACCCACAGAATGGGAGAAAATATTTGAAAATCATTTACCTGACAGGGGATTAATGCCCAGAATATACAGAGAACTCCTAAAACTCAAGAACAAAAAACCCAATTAAAAAATGGGCAAAGGACTTGAATACACATTTCTCCAAAGAAGATATAAAAAGATCCAATACACACAAGAAGAGATGCTCAGAATCACTAATTACTAGGGAAATGCAAATCAAAACTACAATGAGTAACACCTCACACCCCAAAATAATAGAAAACAAGTGGAGGCAAAGATGTAGAGACCCGTGTGCACTGTTGGTGGAAATGTAAAATGGCATAGTTGCTGTGAAAACCAGAATGGTGGTTCCTTAAAAAATCAAAACCAGAATTACCAGAGGATCCAGTGATTCCACTTCCAGGTATAAACACATAAAAGCATTGAAAACAGTTTTGGAAAGATATTTGTATACCCACGTTTGTAGCACCATTATTCACAGTAGAAAAAAGGTGGAAGCAACCCACCTCCTTTGACAGATAACTGGATACACAAACTGTGGTATACCATACATGCCATGGAATATTATTCAGCCTTAAAAGGGAGGGAAATTCTGACAGATCGTACAACATGGACGGACCTTGAGGACATTATGCTATAGGAAATAAACCAGTCACAAAAAGAGAAATACTACATGATTCCATTTGTATGAGGTATTTGGAGTAGTCAGCATGATTAAAAACAGAAAGTAGAATGGTGGTTTCCAGGGGCTGTGGGGAGGGGACCATGGGGAGTTATTGTTTAATGGGTATAGAGTTTCAGACTCACAAGATGAAAAGAGTTATAAAGATGTATGGGGGTGATGGGTGCACATGGTGAAAGTATTTACTAACATTGAACTCTACATTTAAAAATGGTTAAGATGGTTAAGATGGGCCCTGGCTGGAGTGGTTCAGTGGAGTGAGTGCTGGCCTGTGAACCAAAAGGTAGCCAGTTCGATTCCTGGTCAGGGAACATGCCTGGGTTGTAGGTGGGTCCCCAGTTGGGGGCGTGTGAGAGTCAACCAATCTATATTCCTCTCGCATGTCGATGTTTCTCTCCCCCTTTCTCCTTCTCCTCTAACATAAATTTAAAAAATCTTAAAAAAATTAAAAAAATGGTTAAGATAGCAATTGTTATGTTACAGGTATTTTATAATACACACACACAAAGGAAAAAGAAATCAATTTGAAGAATTCCAAATGTTTGGGATGTTTAGACTCCCATGATAAATTATTAAAAAAAAAAATTACATGAAAGATTAAAAAATAATGTGCTCGCTTAACAATTCACTCTGAAAATTTTATGGTTAACTTCATATACATCATGGAAGGGAGTTAGATTCACATAAAGATGGCACTAAAGCCTTGTTGCCTGCTGGGACCTAGGCAGAGTAAACACAGCTGGGGTCTTGTTGCAAGGTCTCAGCTGATCCATGATCCCTGTGGCTGAAAAAACCCAGATAGGGACCTGCAAGCACTTCTCAGGAACAACAACCTTGCTGGTGACAAGCTTATGATAATAAAGTATGATGCAATTATTTGAAGGAAATGTTCTGCCCTGTTTCCAGTGACAAGTTTTCAACAATAAAGCAAAACACTGCAAACTGAAAAAGTTAAAGTCAAGTCAACGTCACACTAAAACACATCATTTCCCTTTCTACCTGGTTTTGAAATTCAACTTCCCCTTTATTTTAAAACCAGTTTTCCTCTGATGAGGTGACTAGGAAATGGAGCAATTTATTCTGTGGCTTTAGTGGAAAGCTTAAACAACTCTGTGCATCCTGGCTTGCACAAGACAGGAACTGGAGATATAAAAATGTGGAGTCTTGCGACCGGAAGTGTGGTCCCCGGGCCAGCAGCCACCGCACAGCCTACCTAGGATCTCCTCAGAACCTGGGCCTCACCCCAGAACTCCTGATTCAGAATCTGCATCCGAACAAGATCTGCAGGCAACTGGTGTGCATATTTAGGCTTAGAAAGCACTAACAGCAAAATAGCCCACGATCCTCTCCTTGCTGCTTAGCACAATGGAGGCAAAGGTGAGTGTGTGTGCATACTCATGACTAGGAGGAAGGAGACTTAGGTTCTAGTCTCAGACCTATCACTGAACATACGCTTTGTTTCCCACCTATTACACACGACCAGCCCTGCCTACATCTCAGGACTGCTCTAAGGATGAAATGGGATCTCTGTTAACAAACCCGTAAGAGTTCCTGGCCCAGCCTGCCTCTCAGGCCTTATCCTGCACCATTTTCCATGTCGCACACTGCATTCTAGCCGCACTGACTGAAGATGGAGCTCATGTCTACTTCCAGGCCTTTGTACAAACCGCCTTCTCTGCCTGGAGTGGCCTCCCCTTTGACCTCTGTGTGTGTGGCACCTTCTTCATTGTTCAGATCTCAGCCTGTTACAGTGAGATTCACCGAATTCAGTGAGAACCTCTCAGACCACTCAATCTAGTCAAACTCTCTAGTGAGTCACTCTGCTATAATCCTCTGCGAGGCATTTACCACCAAGCGAGCAGGGACAGTTCCTGTCTAACTCTGGACTAGTGTCTCCGTGCCTTGAACTGTCCCTGTCACACTAAACACTCAATACATATTTGTTAAATGAATGGCTAGAGAAGGTAAAAACACTGGAGAAAATAAGCTACCACATGAAATATAAAATGCTTTTATTCATAAAACCTTCTTTGCTTTCACTTAGAGACTTCTCTTGAAAAATCATAGCAATGTTACATTGATCACTCACACAGCCTACCTCACGTACATAAACATCTCCCGCCTTTTCAGTAAGAAAAGACTGGAACGCAGGCTGCATTTTTACATGTTTCAAGGAAAGACGATTCATCCACTGTTCACATTCCTCCTTTGGGTGTCATGTGGTGGTCTCCACTCACATCAGTTTAATTTCATCCGTTCCCCTTGAGAAAGTAAATAGCTTAAAAAAGAAAAGCTGCTACTGAGGTCACAGCACAGGACAGTAATGTCATTCTGCTAACAGAGCTGTGGCCAAGGATGGCCAGATGGCCTGTAGGCGGCTTGGCAAAGCTGCCGGAGACCCAGAAAGGCCGCATGCAGGTGAGCAGCAGGGAGAACATACTGCATGAGACCACAAGCCGAGAACTGTCTTGAGGCTCCTTCTGCCACAAAACTGAAACTTAATAATGATTTATTGGTTTAGTTTTGCTTCTCAGTTAAGCATGACGGAAATTGGTTTTCAGTCCCAACATTAGAGGTTCCAAAAGGTGTATACAATTTAGAGACAGATAGATCAGAGAAGACCACAGCTGTTTTCTTAAATCTATTTACACTCTATCAATAAGGTTAAATGAACTCTCCTGCCATTACCAGGTCAGTGCTAACTAGATTCCCCTAGTTACAGGCAGTGATGCCTTTTTATGAATTACCTTTGCCTCCCTTTTCTTAGTCCAAAAAAAATACCATAATTGGAAAAGGTACACGAAGTGAAAGTCGCAAACTTGCCCATGGTGTGGACTGAACAGAGTGATGGCCCCACCTGCTGATTCTAGCTAAAACAGCAGAAAGTCAGGATGCGTGGCAAGTTAGGAATCGCGCCTTGAGTGCCTTCTCAATGCCCAAGTGACCCACAGCACTGCTGAGAAAAGTCTGTTGTCCTTAGGCACAAAGTGGTAGGTGGGGTTTCTAAATATTTTCTCTGAGGTTCCATGTCTTCATTGTTTATTTATTTTTTGGTTTTAAATTAGCTGTACAGCTCCAGAAGCAACTAGAGGTGCAATGGTTTTATATCGGATCAAGTGCTGTGAGCCTTCTTCCAAGTCAATCACATAGTCCCTGAGAAAAGGATGAAAAAAAAAATATTTGTGCAGAGCTTAGCTGGTGCTCTACCAGGAGAAGTATTTCCCACTGTCAAAATCACACATCACTCACCTCTGCTCATCTGTTTCTGGTTCTACGAGTATGTTTTCTTGTCGTTCTTTTACTCTCAGAAACACATATGAATCTAGATCCGGTTTGGGAACTGCCAGAAAAGCAATAATGTAATCAGAAAATGCTTAGCTAACAAAATCAATAGGGAAAAAGTTGTTGGAATTAATTTTATCAAGCACTAAGGAACCCGTGATGCAAAAGCATTTTGGGGGTAGGATGGTTTGAGGAGAGATCTGGCTCCTTCTAGAAACAGCTGCATACTGCCCACCCACGGTTCCACAGAGCAACCAGTCATTGAACAAATGGTATTTCAGATGTGCGGGGAATTCGGCTACACCTTGTGGAGGATACAAGCAAGCAGAACACAAGGTCTGTGGACAAGGCAGTAATAGCAGCATTTGATGAAGCCTCACATGAGGGGCCCACTCCCTCAGTGATGTGGGGGGAAACAAGACGATGTGCGCTTTGAAGAGTAGGATTTAAAAAGGAAGCATGAGCCTGGTAGGTAATGGCAAGGGCCACGGCAGAAATATGCATGACCTTTAGGGAGGACAGAACGTATAAATCTGGTTAGAAAATATTTCTATGTAAAGGAGTGGGAAGAGACAGTACAGTGAGTCCTCACTTAATGTTGTCAATAGGTTCTGTGACTAAGTGAAATAATGTGTAACAAGACCAATTTTACCATAGGCTAATTAATATAAACAAGAATTAAGTTCCCACAGCATTTCATCAATGTTACAATGAAAGGACATTGAGAGAAATGTTATTCGAGTACCTGCTATATTGAAAAGACTGAATTGTATGGCGACAGTCTTGAATGTTAGACTAAGGGGCCCCTCACTGGTTGATTACAGGTTAAGAAGTTGCTGTCATCCCTCCTCTTCAACCACCAGCTAATATTTCAACCTAAGTAAGCGCCCAGGCTGGGCTGCTCCTTGAGAGGTCTGTTTCCTAGTGCTCCATTTGTACCTGGAGGCTGCACCAACTGCAGGGTCCAGAACCTTCTGGATAAACTGTTTGAGGAGCCCAGTTCAGATTTCATGTAGCCCTTGATTCCCCTTGTTCATAGAAGGGGGTTCAGGAAAACTGGCTCCAAAGGTCTAAGGGGGGTCCCCCTGGCCGCGGCAGGGTTCTGGCTTGCCAAGGAGACTCTGACTTCACGGTCAGTCAACCCCACTGGGAAGCTGTTTCCAGGAAACACAGCTTAGATTTCAACATGCTTTCCTCCACCCTGCAGTCGGGGTCTCCAGTGCTCCAGAGGCCCAAGGGGATCTCACAGCATCTAGGCTAACCAAGCGCGACTCCAGTTTCACAAGGGCAAGCTGTTCCCTCCTCCCTAATCCACTCCAGCTTCCAATTCCAAGAGACTGGCTCTAGTCCTTGTAAGGAATCCAGGACAGCACCATGTCTTTCAGGAAGTAACCACCAGCATCAGGTAGAAGCTCTGGGACAACGGCTTAGATCCAGTCCCAGGGATTCCGATGCATACCCATCAGTAGTCCTGTGGCTGGCTGCTTTAATCAACTGCTTAGAATAGCGATGGTTAATGATTATGTATATGGTCCTTGCTCCATCCCTATTCTTCTTCTTTTTTTAAAAGATTTTCTTTATTTATTTTTAGACAGAGGGGAAGGGAGGGAGAGAAATATCACTGTGTGGTTGCCTCTCATGCACCCCCTACTGGAGACTTGTCCCAAAAGCCAGGCATGCGTCCTGACTGGGAATCGAACCAGTGACCCTTTGGTTCGCAGGCTGGTGCTCAATACACTGAACTATGCCGGCGAGGACATTCCTATTCTTCTAAGGTGCAGACAAAAGTGGCTGAACCGCACATGAACTGGGCCTTCTGTTTCCCTCAGGCAGGCTCAGCAAAATGACCAATCTGGTATGGGTTTAGTTTGTTCCTGGAATTACAGGCAGCACTGCGCCCCCCACCAAATACATGGTGAAGTCCTAATCTCCCAGTACTTCAGAATGGGAACGTATTTGGTATAGCGCTTTTAAAGAGGTAATTAAATTCAAATGAGGCCAGTAGGGTGAGAACTAATCTAATCTGACTGATGTCATTATAAGATGAGGAAGACGCTGGGGTATATGTGCACCGAGGGGCAGCCACGTGAAGAGGCAGAAAGAGAGCAGCCACTGGCAAGCCGAGGACAGAGGGCTCGGAGGAAACCAGCCCTGCCAGTGCCTTGATCATGGACTTCTGGCCTCCGGATCTGTGAGAAAATGAACGCCTGCCCTTTGATCCGTCCAGTGCGCGCTGCTTTGTTACTGTAGCCTGGGCTGATGAAGACGTCTGCTGGGCCACGTCTCCGCCCGTCCTGTCCTAGCTCTCCGCCTGCCGCAGGGGTCACTGTGGCCCCAGCACAGGTCGGGTGGCAGATGAACTCCCAGGGCTCAGCTGGGCTTGAACCTGTGGCTTCGGCACACTAAGCTTAGTTCGTGGACAATGCGGATTCCAGCCCCCAGAGCACTGTTGGATTTGGTCTGGCAGTTTTGCCTGACAAAGGCCCTGCTCAAGTATGGCAAGCTGTGGAAGACGGAGAGATATGGACTTTAACCTAAATGCTAGGGGTCCTCAATGAGTTGATCCAAGGTTAGGAGCCACTGCCGTGAGTCCCTCCCGAGCCCAGCAGCATTTTAAGGGGAACTCTGTGAAGAGGGTGAGCGGTGGCGGCATTGGCCGTGCTCAACCTCCCCCAGCTGCCTCTTCGCCCCCACACTCAGGCCTGCTCTCCCATTCCATAGTGAGAAACTCCTCATCGAGAAAAGGTGAGGAGCCTTTACGATGGGTAATGAGGAATCACTGAAGGTTTCCTCAGCCTCCTTTAAATCCTCCTTGGTAGCTAGACAGTCCTGCACAGTCTAGAGTCTGTGGGCAAAAGACTACAAGCTCTTTGAGAGCACAGACCCTTATACCGTCAGTGCTCAGAAGAGCCTAGAACAGTGCTGATGTCCACTAGAAGGAACACGTGACTGAATGCATGAATGAGTCTACATTTATAATGTCAGTCACAAGAATTTCAACCTAACCCGAAGAACACATGGCTACCCTATACCTGCCCTAAATGATTTTTTGTTTTTAACTCAACCCTTCTTCTCTTTTCTTTCCTGTTTATCTATATACTTATTTTTCCATGTTTGAGAGAAAAGTAGTAAAGGTAAAGATCTTATTCTAAAGCATGTGAAGATACTTGGAATGTGATACTCGGGGTGACTGAAAAGAGAATATTCTTCTTACCTGACCTCAAGAGGTCCACTTTCTGTAAATTAGGAGGCATGTGCTTTAAAGCAACATTCCTTAGATAGGTCTCTGTGTTAACCATGTACCTGAAATACATAAATTAAAATCACTGTGATGACCTGACTGGTAGGAGCCACCAGAACGATCAGACAGACAACAGCAGCTCTGAGAATGGCTTCATGGATACAACCACCAAAACTCACGCTCACCAGGCAGAGAGAGAAAGGCAGGTCCTACACTCACTGCTTACTCACTCTTTGGCGAAAGCGAGCTCTGCTGGAGAAAGGATAGAAGGCTCCTCTTCATGGCGTGTTTTCTCCTTTTCAAGGACATGAGGGAAAAACTTCTCTATCTGTGAGGATACATAAAAATCATCATGAAAACATCTGTCAAGAGTTAAGTGTCAAACATACTAGTTTTCTGAAATAGATGGAGGTTAATACAGCAATTGACTTCAACAATGGCAGATCTTCATGGTCAAGGCTGTTTTTACTAATGACACCTATATTCTGGACTTTAAGAAAACAGGTTTCAAACAATTCAGAGGAAAGATAAGAGCTCTAAGAAGAATGACACGCTTCTGTAAAAGATGACCTAAAGCTCTGGCCAGTGTGATTAGCTGGTTGGAGTGTCGTCCCTTAAACCAAAAGGTGGTGGGTTTGATTCCAAGTCAGGGCACATGCCTAGATTGCAGGTTAGGTCCTCAGTCAGGGTGTGTGGGAGAGGCAACCAATTGGTGTTTCTCACATCGATGTTTCTCTCTCACAACAATGTTTCTCTCCCTCCTTTTTTCCCTCCCTTTCCCTCTCTCTAAAATCAATGAGCATGTCCTTGGGTGAGGATAAGAAAAAAAAGATAATCTGAATACAACTAATAATGATATTTAAGAGGAAGAGAAGGGGATATTACTTAACATATTTATGTAATTGCACAGGGTGTTCTGTGAAATGAAACATACACAAAAGCTGGAAAGATGCATAGAGAATATAGACGCAGATAGAACAGATAGAACAGTGACACTTTTAAGATTATAAACAGCAAGGATAAAGCCCACAATGAGGTAAGGCTTATAAAAAATGCTAAGAACAGGAAAAAAAAGCCAAAAGCTACAAAAAGACAAAAAAGGTGTGTAGTCAGGAACCTGGAAGTGATCAGTCTGTTGTTTGAAAGCAGTGAGGGTCTGGTTACCTCTGTCAAGGAAATACTCCTTGAAATCAAGGAAGTGACAATGGTAAGTAAGGAACAAGTGAAGGCCAAGATAAAGGAGCAGTTATTTTAAGGAGTTTAAGACTTTTGGCTTGGATCAATTATGCTCCAGGACAAATTAAATTAACATTTATATGGGGTTTCAATACACAAAGCACTTTCTCTTATTACATGTAAATTGCTACTACTAGTTTATCACTTATTAAAAATATATGTAGTTTCCTAATCTCAGAAGAATTAGTTCAAAAGAGGTGTGAAAGATTAGAGATAGGCAAACTTCCCAATTTTCAAAAATACAGAAGGTAGAGGATCTTCAAATACAGATTAATGTCCTTAACACTGATATGTGGCATTATATTAGAATGGATAATTTAAAAGACAGTTTGTGAATTCAAAGAAAAGTAAGTACTAAACATGAAGAGGATTTATCCAAAAAAGTAAGTGGCCTGGTATTTGAGGATGGAGTGAAGAAGCATACTGTGTGTGTCTCAATATTTTCAAAACATGGTAACGTCTTTATGACACCTTTGGGGACAAACTGTAAACGTGGGGCAGGGGCAGGGTAACAGTATAGAGTGGGAGACTCATAAACAGTTAAACAAAGACTATTGATTCAACGGAGAGAAGTCAATCAGCAGGGAAGTCTTTGGCGGAATACTCTATCATTGTCCTAGTCCCATTAAAGAATCAGGTAAGACCCTTGATGACACATTTATCAAACTTGCTGATGACAGAAAGTATTAAGAGGTAACTAATATGTTAGGCAACAAGATCAGGATCCAGAAACCAAGGAAATGGCCAAATTTAATAAAATAAAGCTAAAGAGGGATAAGCATCAAGACCTATACTTGAGTCAAAAATCCAGCCATACAAATATATGAAAGCGACAGGATGGGGTCATGATAACAGTTTCAGGTATGGCTAAAGCCGACAATGAGTACAGAACGAGCTGAGTGTCATGTGCCTGTCAAATATGCTAATGTAATACTAGGTGGCATTACTACCATTTTAATACCCAGAATAAGGGAAGTGATTGTCCTGCTTTAACAAACATAACCAAACTACAACTAGAACAGTGTATTCAGTTGAGGGGGTATAATCAAAGGAGGCTATCAACAAACTAGAACTTTGCAAGAAAGACACCAGGAGAGTAAATGGAAGTAAGTAGCTGAAATGTTTAGCTGAGAGGATTTCAGTAAGACTTGTGAACTGTCTTCAGGTATCTAAAGCATTCTCACATAGGAGAATGTATTTGTTTTATAATAACTATAATAACTAAGGGGACAAGCAGAGCCAATAAGAAACTTCAAGGACGTAAGAACATTCCAGGGTTAAAATAGGTATCATACAAAATAAGAATGTTTTGCAATTTCATTTTTATAAGTTAGAGCTATAGTTTAAAGTCAAGTCAGTGCTGCCACGCTGTAACACCAGGGGGCACCATTCATAACAAATAAATCGGTTAAAACTGTGTCTGTCCCCAAGAAGTGTACAATATATGTTCCATCTATGCTTCTCCAGAACAATCTCTTGCCCTCCTTACTCTTCAGCTACCCTGATATTGGGCCTCAGAAGCATCTTCAGGGCCTGGACCATCTCAGGTCCCAGCCTAACCTCTTCCCAAGATGCTCAGTCTACATTACACGCTGCCATTGCCTTAATGCCTACAGGTACCTTTATTTCTATCTCTAGTAAAAGCCACAAAAATTTAATTGGTTTAACCACCAGCTGTTGTGTGTGTGTATATATAGATGTGTGATTGAGGAATATCCTACAGTTAACATTACATAGATTAAAAAGGAAACAATTTTTATCTCTGCAGATATATCCTTCACTTTTGTCAAACCTTCATGAGCCGACACCGCAAGTAGCTGCTAAGGACATAGCGGATCCTCTCCATCTCCATTCGATGGATACCGACCTTCAGATCCCCCTTCTTTGCTCTCCTGAGATTTTCTTCCTAGTCAAAGGGATAATAAAGTTTACCAAAAAAATATGATATTCAAGACAGAACCTTCTTTGTTTAATCTACACACCGCCCACAAGGACCGTCATCACTGGCAATGCTGAGGACTCACACACTTCATTTAGTCAAAGGAGAACAAAATACTCGTAAGAGTTCTCACTTTCTTTTAATTTCTTAATCACGCAAATAATATATGGCTACAGTCTCATCACATAAAGCTTAAATAATACTCATTTACAGGCATACCTTGGACGTACTATGGGTTTTGTTCCAGAGCACCGCAATAAAACAAGTCATAATCTTTTTGCTGGTAGAGGGTCTTGCCTTCAATTTGTAAAGAAACCAACAACTGTGAAATGCAACAAAGTGCAATAAAACGAGGTGTGACTCTACTTCTGGAAAATAACCATTTATTATTTTATTTTAAAATCATGTTTATTCTATTACAGTTGTCTCAGTCTATTCCCCTTTGCCCTCCTCCACCCATCCCACCCTACCTTCCTCTCCCACAGTCAATTCCCACTCTGCTGTCCATGTCCATGGGCCATTCACACATGTTCTTTGTTTAGTCCCTTCTCCTTTCCGCCATTGTCCTCCTTTCCCATCCCCTCTGGTCACTTTCAGTCTGCTCCATGTTTCCGTGCTGTGGTTTATTTTGTTCATTAGTTAATTTTGTTGAATAGATTCCAAGTATAGGTGAGATCATAAGGTATTTGTCTTTCACCAACTGGCTTATTTCACTTAGCATAATATTCTTCAGTTCCATCCATGTTGTCACAAAAGATAGGAGCTCCTTCTTTCTTCCTTTTTTTAAAAATGCAGATTGTTTTTATGTATTTATTTAAATGTCAAAATCCATTATAAAATATTTAAAAATTTAAGTCCATTATAAAGTCTCAGCAATTAAAACAACATGACACCAGCACAGAAATAATCAAGTAGATCAATAAAATGAGCATTCTAAAAAAAATATATGTCTAACAATGTAATATATGATTAAATTAATATTTCAAATTGATGAGTAAAATAAGGCTTATTCAACAAATAAGGTACATGGGCCACTATTACTTGAAATAAAACAAATATAGAGCCCTATTTCACACATTCTACAAAAAATATTCAGGTGAGTTAAAAATCAATATGTAAAATCTAAAGAGTTTTAGGAGAAAATACAAAATATTTTTCTTACCCTGAAGTAAAATACTCAAACCCAGAAGCTACAAAGTAAAATATTGACAATATGACTATATTAAACATTTAAGACTATATAGTAATATACACATAAAAAAAGTTAAAGTACAAGTAATAGAATAGGAAAGTATCTGCAACACATCTAAAAAAGGGTTAATAGTTTTTTTTAAGGGAAAAAATTCTATAAACATTTAATTGAAAAATGGATAAAGAATACCAAAAAGTAATTTAAAGCTTTTTAAAAATAATAGAAATAGGCAAGAACATAGGAAAACAGGTTTATTTTCAACAAATAATAAAGGAACAATTAAAATAACACACCATTGTCACAACCAGATTAATAAGTATTAAAAAAATATTGGTAATACCAAGTATTGGTGACTGTGACAGGAACTGGGTATTCATAGACTCTTTTTCTTCATCTTCTTAAAGCAGTCCCTTTAGCACATTTTGCAATGCTGGTTTGGTGGAGGTGTATTCTTTTAGCCTTCTTTTGTCTGGGAAACTCCTTATTTCACCTTCCATTTTAATTGAGAGCCTTGTTGGGTAGAGCAGTCTTGGTTACAGGTGTTTGCTTTTCATTACTTGGAATATTTCTTGCCAATCCCTTCTGGCTTGCAGTGTTTCTGTTGAGAAGTCAGCTGCTAGTCATACTGGGGTTCCCTTCTATGTTACTACCTCTTTCTCCCTTGCTTCCTTTAGGATTCTGTTTGTCTTTGATATTTGCCATTTCAGTGATGATGTGTCTTGGGGAGGGCCTCATTGGGTTCCTCTTGAATGGGACTCTCTGTGCTTCCTGGAGCTGTGTGACTTTTTCTCTCCTCCAATTAGGAAAGTTTTCCATCATTACTTTTTCAAACAGGTTCTCTATCTCTTCCTCCTCCTCTTCTGCTTCTGGTATCTCTATTATATGGATATTGTTACATTTCAGGTTGTCCTGCATTTCCCTAAATGCCTCTTCATTCTTTTTTAGTCTCTTTTCATTTTCTTGCTCTTTCTGGGAGCTTTTTTCTACCTTATCCTCCAGCTCACTGATTCGATCCTCTCCTTCATCTAGCCTGCTCCTGATTCCTTCTACAATGTTCTTCAATTCAGAAACTGTATTCATTTCCTCTTGTCTCTTATTGATAGTTTCTATGTCCTTTTTCATGCAGGTAAGAGTTTGCAGTAAGTTCCTCGTAGTTTCCCTGTAGTTTTTGGTAATTCTCTCTGAGCTCACTGAGGTTATTGAGTTTCCTTAGTACTGCTGTTTTAAACTCAATACCTGATATTTTACTTGCCTCTCTTTCAGTTAGTTCTCTTTCTGGGGATTCCTCCTCTCCCTTCCACTGGTGGGGGTTTCTTTGTCTTCCAATTATTTGTGAGATTCTTCTTTTTTGCTTCTGCTTCTTAAATTGATATGTCTTGATTTCCTGACTTTGTGGTGTGAACTTCTATGGTAGGAGACTGCTGTTTTTTCTTTCTGGATCTGCCTCTGATAATGTCAGATGTTGACTCTGTCTGACCTTAGGCAGTCTGTTTGAGACTTCCAGGAATATACTGTCTGTGGCTGTCTCCTTTAGCTGTTAATTAGTCACTCCACAATCTGCAGGCTGGCTTAGACACCACCGGCAGGGAAGAGTTTCTCCTGGGGGCAAGGTTATTGGGTCCTCTCATGCTGCTGCCACTCAAGGGAGTGGTTTGCCTGAGCCAGATGGCTGCTGCTGTATTGGGGAGGAGTCAGCACTAGGATCCCACCAGCTACTCTCTCAGTTTCTCCCCAAAGCCTCCATCTCCAGTCTCTCCTTAAGTGTCTCTAGACCACTCTGCACCTCTTTAGCCCGGAATCTGCTATTTGTGGCTGCCAACCTGTACTCAGCAGTCAGGCTTTAACACTACTGGGCCAGGACTGAGTCCCTCCCAGTGGGGTGGGGCTACTGGGTCCTCTCACATTGTTGCTGCTCATGGGAGTGGTATGCCTGAGCCAGATGGCTGCTGCCGTATGGGGGATAAGTGAGCACTGGGATCCCACCATCTATTCTCTCAGTTCTCTCCCCAAAACCTCCTTTCCCACTCTCTCCTCAGGCGTCTCTACCCCGCTCTGCCCCCACCTTTGCTGGAGACCAGGGTAAGTGGCAGTTAGGTTGAGCTAAAGCTGATTCTTCTCTCTGTCCGAGGCTCCTCTCTTGCTATTGTTCAGTTGTTTGTTCCAGGTGATTTCTTCACAATTTAGTTATAATTCCAGATTGGTCCTGGGAGGAGGTTAGTGTGACTTCCACACACTCCTCCACCATCCTGATTCTCCCCCAGCTGAAAATGACCATTTAAATAGAATCTGAATATTATTGGTCAGAAGGGCCTACAAAAACTCTACCCCAGTTGTAAAGGAGATAATAGAGCAGACAGAGGAAATGTCTAAAGGGTCTAAAAAGCAGTGTTAAAACACGAGATGAAAAACTGTAAAGTATCAATGTTTTAAAGCTACTCTGAGGTTGATAATGACTTAGGCCAAGTTCATCTAACACACGGGCACCAAACTGGGGCCAGGCAGGTAAGATACATTAGAAAGGTGAGCAGTTAGGAACCATGAGGAACAGGAGAGCACACGGAAAGGGGGAGGCCCTAACCTTGCTTTGGTCAGCTGTAGTCATGTAAAAATGTGGGGCTGGTAATGACAGGTGTTTAGACCTTTCATGGGAAGTACATGTGGTATCCAGATATTCACAGGTACTCTCATGCTCAGTATATGTAGATAACGAATTCAATATTTAAAAAACAAACTAGGCTGAGCCAAACAAAAGAGATTTGCCAACAGATCTCTCACTGTACTGACAAACCCTCTGAATGTTCTCTTCCTTGGTAACCCTGGGATAAGCAGCTCTTACCATGTGATCTAGCTGTTCCATGACACATTCTACAATTTCAGGCTTGCTTTCCAGCAGGTCAGGGGCAAACTTTTCATTCATCCAAGCCTAAAAAACAATGCAAAAAAAAAAAAGAGTCACACACACACACACACAGTACTCACACAGTAGCAAAACAACCCTGTAAGTCAGTCTATACCTCATACCTCATGAAAATCACAGCTATCTCATGCAAAGAAAATTGTTTGCCAACTAGTTGGAAATACTGGAAATGTGTTGAAGGCAAGCTGTTTAATAATGGCTTTTCCATTTCTTTTAGTAGGAAATTGTGTTTACAACCTTAAATTTAACCAACATTACAAAAAAAAAAAAATCACTGTTCACTTCAAAAATGTTGTCAATATACCTGTTGCTGACAGTAACACTACCTGGTGTTCAAAAAGTACCTTTCACCAAGTAGCATCAACACATTTCCTTCATCTGCTATTATTTCCCACCAGGGGGCACTGGCACCTTTCTATTTGGGGAGATGAAGTGACACAACATTAATCCTTCTCCATTCCTGAAGCTCAGAGCACTTTACAAATACTTTTTCATTCATCATTATAATATCTGAGAAGAAATGAATATAGTTATCTTCATCTTATTGGTGAGAAAATACAAATGAAGGTACTTACTAACCTCCCAAGAGTATAAAGAAGTGGATGTTCATCTATTAAACAGTTTTGGAACAAGTTTTAAATCCTTAATTTATGACTCAAACCCAGATGCTGTGTACATTTCAGAAGTTACCAAGGCTTAGAAAACTGTAATAGCCACAGGTGATTGAGGAAAAGTATACTCATTTTTCAATTACTGGAAATTTAGTTTTAACATAGCTCAGAATTACATGCTATTTAGGCTCAATTTATTCCTTCTGACATCCCTTAGTCTCTGCTTCTCCAAATATCACCATCACAACATATTATTAAATACTAGGTATTGCTACTATTTGTATTTTCAAGAAGCATAATAAATGAGAAAAGAGCAAACTGTCACAGAGAACTTATGAAGCAGGAGTTTCTCTTTTTAACTTATTTTGTTAAATATTAATAGGCACAAAAATAATTATAACATACAAATAAACATGAAGAATAGTGATACAAATATCTGTGTACATATAACTTCATTAACAAATATTATTTTAAAAGTTTCTGTGTATCCCTCCCTCCCTCCTCAGAGATAATCATTAGCCTGAATTTAGTGTTTAATATTCTGTACAGTTTCACTACACTTGTTTTCATCTCTATATAGTACTTTCCAACCTTTACATGACAGGGCATTTAAAGAAAATGATAGCACTTGTACGGTACACTGGGGGTAATATGGAATAGATTGCAGGGGGTAGATTTCTCACAGTGCATTATGAAATTTAGTAAAATGAGAAAACATATTAGTATAAAGCTTTAAAATAAAATCTCAAAATTTTTGGTGGGAAACTTAGGTTTAAATTGATGGGTTTTTATTTTTATTTTTTAAATAATCAGGTTCTTTGTTTAAAGTGGCTACATCTTGTTTCTGATCAAAAATTTTAATGTTACAGACTAAGTTGTGTCTTCCTCCACCTCGCATTCATTATTTCGAAGTCCTAATTCCCAGTGCCTTAGAATATGACTGTATTTGGAGACTGGGTCTTAAAAGAGGTGATTAAGTTAAAATGAGGTTTTTTAGATGGACCCAGACCGAATATGGCTGGTGTCCTTTTAAGAGGGGTAAATTTGAACATGGACGCACAGAGGAAAGACTATGTAAAGCCACAGGGAGAGGATGGCCATCTACAAGCCCAGGAGATAGGCTGAGAAGAAACCAACTGTGCTAGCACCTTGACTTTAGACTTCTAGCCTTCAGAGATGAGAAAATAAATTTCTGTTCTTTAAGCCATCCAGTCTGTGTACTTGGATATGCCATCTTAGCAAACTAATACAATCATTAAAATCAGAAACTATACACTGTAGGTAATAACTTTTAAGTCATTTTTTACAGACATTCAAGAATATCCCATGTATAGTCCTGGAGCTGTGTCTATCAGTGGTCCTTGTCAGGTTGTTCCTTAGGCCATGCTATGCAGCCTGAGTCTGTGTCCAGCTGCAGTAGCTCTCTAGGTGGTGGACCAACACCTTGGCTGCACTGAGGGGCATCGCAAGAGAGCATCAGGCACGAGCTGTAACTCATGCTCACGCACTGCCAAGCTGAGGCTGTGCTGTCAGACACAGCTATCCTCAGGCTGCCTTCCAAGGAGGCCCTCGGACGACACCCACAAGAGGCAACTAGCCTGGGGGCTGGGGCTGCCCCAGAGGTGAAGGGTCAGCATCACTGAGGCATCTGCAGCACACCAGTGGGTGCCACATCATCCAAGCTGGCAAGCTCCTCCTTCAACAATAGTTTTCCAAGAGTTTGAATTGTATATAGTTCCTTCAGCAACATATCTTTTGTTGTTACATTATGCCCCTGAGTTATGCATGCTGCTGCAGGAGCTTTTATTCACTTTATTGTTGTTTTTTCTCATTGTGCATATATGACATAATTTTTTTATCCATTCTTATGTTGAGGGATGTCTGGGTGTATACGGTTTTTAAACTGCAAGTAATGCTATGAACATTTTGTGCATGTCTCCTAAAGTACATATGAAAGTTTCTCTAGGGTATATATATATACTGAGTACAATGACTGGGTAACAAAATACGTGCACCTTCAACTTAAGATTGGATTATTTTCCAAAATGATTGGATCAATTTACATGCTCCCTGTAGTACGTAAGTATGCAAACTGCTCTAGATCCTTCCCAATAGTTTACATTGTTCACTTTTTTCATTTCTGCCAATCTGATGGGTATGAAGTGATACTTCATCGGGGTTTAAATGTTCATTTTTCTGTTTACTAAAAAGGTTGAACACCTTTCTATGTGATTGTTGGACATCCTGGTTTCCGCTTCTGGGAGATGCCTGTTAAGACTTTATTTTTCTACCGGTCAGTTTGTAAAGTTTATGTATTGCGGACACTAATGTTTTGTCAGTTACATATGTTGCAAATATTTTCTCCCAGTTTTGTGGCATGTCTTTTTACTTTCACCAAGGAGTAAAAACAGAGTTCTTAATTTTAATCAAGTTGACTATATCAGCTTTTTCCTTTATACTTTATACCTTTTGATTTTTTGGTTAATGAATCCTCTCCTAATAAAGCAGTGGCTCTTAAACTGGGTCCACAAACTAGGTGGGCAGATTTCAGGATGTCTATGAACCTTCTGGAGTTATATGCAAAATTCTGCATGGATATATGCATGTATTTTTTTGGGAAGAAGGGTCGAAGTTTTCACCAGATTTTCAAAAAGGTCTGTGATATAAAAACAAATTAAGAATTACTGCTATTACCCTAGCTGGGTAGCTTAGCTGATTACAGCATCATCCTGATATACAAAGGTTGTGGGTTTGATCCACAGTGAGAGCACATACAAGAATCAACGAACGAATGCATAGATAAGTGGAATAACAAATTGATGCCTCTGCCTCTTTTCCTTCCTATCTCTCTCTAAAATCAATAAAAAATAAAAAGGAAAGAATCATTACTATAAAGTTAGGATTAACATATAAGATGTAATTTTAAAATTATGTTCCTTTGGTTTGTCTCTCATGATGGCATGTATGGTAGGAAGGACTGAAGAACACTAAAGTAACAAACATAAATGAGCTCTTGAAAGGGACAGTTAAAGAAAGGCAGTAGACAAAAATAATGTAGCAGATGTGGTGGATTAAGAGCATGCATTTTGAAGTCAAAGAGATCTGGCTCATATCCTGGCTCTGCTGCCACTGTGTGACCTTGGGCAAGTTAATTTATATCTCTAAGCTTCAGTTTCCTCCTCTGTACAATGGAGATAACAATTACAAGGCAGATAATAATGCCTGCCTCACTGGGTTGTTTTAAGTTATTACTATTCATGCCCTGGCTGGTGTGGCTCAGTGGCCTGAACACTGACCTGCAAACCAAAGGGTCACCGGTTCGATTCCCAGTCAGGGCACATGCCTGAGTTCCGTGGCAGGTCCCTGGTGAGGGGCACGTGAGAGGCAACCACACATTGATGTTTCTCTCCCTCTTTTTCTCCCTCCTTTCCCTTCTGTCTAAAAATAAAATCTTAAAAAAAAAACCCCAAAACTAAATCTAAAGAATTATTGCTACTCACAACTAACATCCAGTGAGTGCTTATCATGTGTCAGATAATATGCTAAGCACTTTATACATGTATTATTTCATTTAATCCTCACAACTCCGTGAGGTAGCTACTATTTTTAACTCCATTATAAAGCTAAGGAAATGCTTGAGACCAGCTACAGAACTTGTCTAAGGGTCACATAACAGACTAGCAGAATGGAGGGATTTAAATACAGATAGTCTAACTACCATAGCCTCACAAGATAGTAATAGTAAATAACAGCTACTGACACACAGGAAGTACTCAAACCATAGCTATTATGACTGAAAGGAAAGAGAGCTTAGAAATGATTTTAGATAAGCACTGGAAATATAGAGAACAGTTGAAAAAAGAAAAGCATGAGGAGGACCCAAAAAAACCCTGGAATTTATTTAAAAAAATCATATATTTATTCTTACATGTGTAAACTTCAGTAACCTTCAAAGTACTCTCCATTTGATGTAATACGCTTATTGAGATGCCTTTCGGTGCTTCTGCTGTTTTTTTGTTTCCCCTCTTCCATATTGGCAAAACGTTTGCCTTTAAGGACTTTTTACATCCGAGAAAACAGTCACTCAGGAGGAGATCGAGTGAACAGGGAAGGTGGGGGTCGTGTTGTTTTTGGTCAAAAACTGCTGCCCACTGTGTTATGGGCAGGTGCACTCATAAATTACCCATCATGAAATGAGCAAATGCACGGGGTCTTTAAGAAAAAGAATTTCACTGAAGCTGAACGCCGCCTCTCACAACATCACCAGCAGGTGCACTGATACAGATGGGTGCCTAGAACACTCATCTAGCAGGGGAAGCCTGTACTATACAGAGCCTGCTCTCCAGAAGATAATTAATTCCATTTATTTTATTCATTTATTTTTTGATGCCCCCTCATCTATGGGAGGAAAAAGAAATTAAAACCAGCTTTCTCCTAAAAAAGGTGTTTCAGCACTTTCTTGCTAACTCGGGCATTCTACAGGGAGCTAGCAAATATTTCAAGGGACTAAGGCATGTAACTTACAAGTCACCATAACACTTCTGTAGCCTGTGCAAATACCAAGTAGCAAATCCTTGCTCGGTGAACTGCTCTGGTAAATGTACCCAAAGCTGTCCCTTACTGGCCTCACCTGAGGACTTAGTGCTTGACATGATGAGGTCATAAAAGAGAGGCTGCCCTGCCCCCCCGTACATTTTAATTTCTGTGTAAAATGATAAGATCTCTCTTCTCTTGAAATAAGCCTTGAATTCCATTTCTTCATTTCCTGATTCCTGACATTTGCACAGTTGAACTAACAAAAGAGGGCTAAGATTGGAGCAAGGGGATTCTATTTGGGAAGCTTACCTGCTCCAGCCTTTCAATGAGCTCTGCAGGAGTTAGGACCACCTCCTCACTACCCCCATCAGAGTCCTGTCCGGTGAGATCCAGTTCCTCTGACATCTTCTGGGAAACCTGGAACCTAAGAAAAGAAGAACCAATACCCTTCTACGTGTTTTCCATTTATTAGCAAGAATAGGCAACTACGTATCTACAACTGGGGTTTTATAGGTTCATTGGCAGTAGCTAGAGAATTCATAAGTTGGACTTTCAATTTTTTTGCCTGTACCTTCACACTTTAGGTCAGGTATCAGTTTCCCAAAGAGGTCACCCCTTGTATCTGGAATTGAGCACCTATCACACCATGCAATAATTATTTGTGTTCCCGGAAGAGGTTCTCTCCTCAGTGGCTGTGTTCATTTCCGTTCGAATATGAACCACGCACCTTCTCTGTGCCTGCCACTTCTAAGTACTGGGAAGATAATGACCTGTGTAGTCCCAGCGCTTAGCACAGTTCTTAATTCATAGCAGGTACTTAAAGTTGGGAGAACTAATCGATGCCTAATTTCCTACGGTCGCAAGGCCCAGCAACATAAAACCACTGATCCTGAAGGCTTAAGGTGGGTGGTGGGGACGAGGGGAAGTCCCCAGAGCCTCAGGGAAACTGAGAGGATATTCCTCTAGCCCCTCTCCTCTTTCGGTGCCACAAGCATAGGGTGACCCCCTTCCAACACACACACACACACACACACACACACACACACACACACACACACACAAGCAAGCATAGGGTGACCCCCTTCCACAGCACAGACACACACAGACACACACACACCACCCCCACCCCGTTCGGATGCTCACCTGGGAACCTAGAAGGCACAGAGACCCTCCCAGGTAGAAGGAGGCTAGGAGGGGAAGATCGTGGGGAAGGAGCCCGGGCTCTTCCAAGGAGCACTTGGAAGCAGAATAATTTCTGGACCTTTACAGACCTACCGGAACCAACACTTCTCAGCTCCCGCGCTCCTCTTACAAACGTTCCTACCCGCCACAACGTCACCACGCACCGGCGGCGCTGACCAATCACGCCAGGTGGCCCGATGGCCCCGCCTCAGGGGGGTGGAGACTTGAGTCTCGCCCCTCTACCCCCTAGCTCCGAGGACGTAGCTGGAAGCCTGTCCGGGTTAGGCCCGCCCACCTCGGCCATCAGTACTTGTGTGAGGTCCTGGCCGACACCACCCAAAGACGGTCGGGAGGGGGCGCCTCGCCACCGCGGTTGAGGAGACGCTACGTTATCTGCCTTCCGGCCACTGGGGCGCAATCACCCGAGGATGTCCTGGCCCGCAGGGGCGCTCACGGAGACACGGGCTCTGTTAAAACCAGACCTCTTAATATCTTCGGTCTTATCCACCTACCGCTTTTGGTTCTTCTAGGTCCTCCCTCTTTGCCGGGACTTCAGCTATGGCCGCTATTTCCTGGTCTAAAAACCTTTAAGTTAGTGATTCTTTAATTGCAGTACTAGACCACCGGCAACGGCATCACCTGGGAACCCGTGAGAAATGCAGATTCTCAGGCCCCACCTAGACCTGCTGAGTCAGAAACTCTGGGGGTGGTTCAACAGACTCTCCAGGTGAGTCTGATGCAGGGGAGTTGGAGAACCACAGCTTTAGGCTGCTTGACTCTCCAGGTTGTTTTGACACTTAACTGCTTATGCCTTCGACCTTTAATGTAGGGCAAAAGTATATCCTGTGTGTGTATGTATAGATATATATCTACATATAGTTATATATTTGTATATCTATCTATTTTTCTTTGCATGTGTCAGTTTTTATTTTCTCTGAATTGCGGATGCTTTTTTCTCTGCTGTTTTCTGTGCCGTGTCACTTCTGGCTTCCCTAGATATGTGTCTTCTCCATCAGTCTGGAGACTCTTCTTTGTGATGTTCCTTATGCCATATTGGTTGAGAGGAAAAAAGTTTGGCTAATTGACAGGTTGGTAGTACCTGCCTCATTACAATCATGTTATAAAAATAATTAGAATATACTGAGAGGGAGAGTGGGCATATTTACAAAGGGCTATGGAAGTTGAGGGACATCAAAGAGGGCTTCCAAAAGGAAAGGACATTTGGGCTGCATCTTACAGAATGAGTTTTGTTCATGACAAATAGATGGCCTTTTCAAGGTCTATTTCAACTATGTGCTTCAGTGGTTTGGTAATCCCGTGGTTTTTCATTGTGGCAGATTTTATTTCCAAAGATAGCTGCTCTGATATAGACCTCATCCTACCTACCCTTCTTATAACAGGATGCTGACACTCCTCCACCAAGAGGAGGTGGGGGTGGGACCGTCTATGTTCTTGCCTCTTAAATCTGAGAAGACCTTTTGTAACTACCTTGACCAAGAAAATGTGGCTAAAGTGATGATGCTGTATGATTTCTTGAGTTACGCCATAAAAGGTGGTGCTGTGCCAGCCTTGCTCTTTCTTGGGCCATGTCCATTGGGAGCAATGAGCTGACATGTAAGAAGTCTGGTTACCCTGCAGCTGCCGTGCTGAAGGGTCCACATGGAAAGATCACACAGAGATAGGGAGCGGTGTCTGAGGAACCCCAGCAGCCCTAGCGGCTCTGTCCCCCAGGGGTCTGACTTGAGTGGGCTTTCAGATGATTCTGGCTCAGGCGTTGAGTAATCCCCAGCTTACATGGAGGATGTAGAGCTGTCCGTGCAGAACTCTACCCAGATTGCAGATTTGTGAGCAAAATATTGTTTTAAGCCTCTAACTTTAAGGGTGGTTTGCTATGCAGCATTAGGTGACTAGAATATTAGATCACTGGACTATGTTTGAGCACAGTCCCATTCTTCTATAATTCTCATTACTACCTAGGTTTTCAATGGTCTTTATTAATATTCCTTAAGTGGTATAGATTTGCGTCCAAGCACCAATAACTTTTCCGCACAATTACCAATTACTTAGTTTGCTTATTCAGATACTTCCCTTCTCTGGTGCCAACTGCCTTCTCTGATCTCCCACTGCAACTCTCTTGGGAAGGTGAAGTCCACCTTCTGCTTCCTTACTTAATAGAGATGTGACCTTAAACAAGTCACTTCTCTGGGCTTCAGTTGCACTACCTGATAATTGAGAACAACATGTGTCTTCCTGAAGATAAAGGGATAGATCAAAAGTTGGGGGAGGGGCTTTCACGTCTAAGGTCTTTGATTTCAACTAATACTCTTCAGACAAAACCACTTCAGAGTAAAATGAGTTTGCAGAGAAAGATTTCTGCTATGTAAAGAAGGAGGATTTAAGGAGAGGTCCTGAAAAATTATACTGAGTTTGCTGGAGTAAGCAGCACAAACTCGTGGTGAACTTGTTGGTCACATGGCACTGCAAAGTTCAGAAATGTGGGAGTAAATACAGGTCATAAGTGACAATATGTTAGAATGAACAGAACAATCAGGAACACATGATTAAGGTACACCCATGGTCAAAAAGTTTTAAACATAACTTAATAGCTGCCCTGGCCAGGTGGCTCAGTTGGTTGGAACATCTTCCTGTACTCCAGAGGTTTGAGGGGTTCGATTCCCAGCCAGGGCACATACCTGAGGTGCAGATTTGATCCCTGGTCAGGTGTGTTTGGGAGGCAGCTGACTGATGTTCCTCTCTCTCTCTTTCTCTCCCCCCCTCCCTTTCTCTCTCTAAAATCAATAAACATATCCTTGGGTGAGGACTTAAAAAAAGTTTTATATAACCATATAAATGGAGTGACATTAATTAAAACAATCACATAAAAAGGAGAATTACATAGGTTATGATAGCAGGGGGATGACGTTTGATAGTGATAAATGAAACTGCAGGACAGAATTTGTAGGCAAGGTGTGATGAATCAAAGAGCGAAATGAATATGCTAACATGAATTCAGACAAGTTAAATATAAAGGTACTAACATAGCAAAAGGAAGACGCTACTGTCTAAAGTTGAAGAAGATATAGAAAATAGGACCCTATGAAATCGAAAAAAGGGAAAAGTCAGTGCAATTTCCAGATAGTGCTCGGTGAAGAAATGAAACGCAGTTAAAGACCCAGCCAAAATATTTGTGGATAGCTATAGAAATATGCATTAATAAGAATGAAACTAATTCTTTTTAATCAACACGGAGAAAAGATAAAATATACATATCCATACAATCTTGTGAGCCTTTTTGCAGAAAGATGCTTTAGAAACACAAGGTAATATCATCATCATTGTTTTCATATCATCACTGGCCTTGCTCATTTGGTCAGCAGCTGTTTCTCACTGTTCCCTTCCTTTGAATGTCATCACGTTTTTGGTCTCACTATTCTAAGAACCAAAGCATTAAGTTTTGGGGAGTGTACAATTGAAGCAAAGTTTAACCCCCAGTTGTTCTGAATAAATGAAAATTTGGAGTAAAGATAGGAAAGTAAGAGGCAGCTTGGATTTTTAAAGAAGGCAGAAACGTACTCTTAGAATATTTTCTTTTAGCCCCATAAGGAATCCATTGACTGGTGAATTAGCAAGTGCTTTTCTGGCCAGTGGTAAAACCTCATACTTGCTTGTGTGGCTGAGATGCTGAAAAACTCAGGAGGCCAGGGCCAGACTTGGATCTTCCTGACAAGTGTAAAATCTGGGCAATTCATGATATTTCTCATTCCTTTTCCCCACAAACTTCAGCTCCTCATCCCTTACTCAAATCCCATATCTTGGGCTCAAGCACATTAAATTAACCCACATATGTTCCCTAATAAAGATTTAAACTTTTCGAATCTAAGTTTTGATTTTGCAATTTCAAGAGTTCTAACAGATAAAGATGAAATATATGGATTTGTAATATTAACTAAAAAAAAGCATGTCCAAAGCTTTAATGCTATGTTCTCCATTTTTTCCTACCCACTCCCTTATAGGAACACTTCTTCCCTTCATTTGGTCTTAAAGTGTTCTTAGTTTTTGTGTAAACCCTAGTCCCACCTCTGTATTTCATCTTTTCGTGGTTAATAGGAGGATGCCTTTCCCCCCCACCCCCTCTCATGACTACAGAATTAGTCTTAGGAATAACAGAAAAAGGGTCAGTTTGCTATGGAGGGGTACTTGTATCTTCCGAAAAGAAAGCTGATCCAGACACCTGGCTTCGAATTCAGCTCTAACAAAGGCTTCCTAAGCCTGGACAAAGACCTGTAGATGCCATCTCTCCTCTTTGCCTCACCTTTGTCAATAAGGAAGCAGAGGCATTGATTCCTGTCAAAGGCTGCTGCCTCCACAAACAAAGAGTAAGGTGATATTCTCTCATTCCAACATTATTGTTTTATACTCTTGAGAATTTCTTTGGCAGAGAGTAAACATATCACCTGCAGGCCAGCACCTTGTTGCCTGCAGGCATGGACGGCTGCACTGAAGAGAAAGCTGTTGGAGGATGGAGTCAAGTCCCTTGAGAGAAGCAGGGAGGCCATCAGGTGCTGGTGTGATTTTGCTGACTGAAAACAGTGCTGCTGATTTTCTTGTAGTTTAGGGTCTCCTCCCTTAATGTGCAGCTCCAGGCGTGTTTAACTACTTAGGGAGATAAGATATTGTGTCTCCTTTCTTTGCACATGCTATTCCCTCTTTCTACGCTTCTCTCTTTCCCTTGAACCACCTGATGAACTCCTATGCATCCTTTAAGACTTAGCAAAGTAACTCTTCCTCTGAAACTGTCCCTAATATACTATCCCTTATTTAGGTCACCAGTATACCCTGAACTCTTCTGTTAAAACATTTATCATGCTATACTGCAGTTTTAAGATGTCTATTCCTCTCATTAGATTAGGAATTCCTTGAAGGTGTCCCCCAAACCTATCTCAGTGCCTATCATTCATGCACACATTTCTTTCTTCATTGAACAAATATTTCTTGAGCACCCAGTGATATTGGAGTATCTACTTCCAGGCTCTGTGTAGGTGCTACAGAGAAAGCAGTAATAGGAAACAGACGCTGTGGTGGGAGAGGACAGTAAACAAATAAC